CCCACCGACAAAAGGCCCAGGGAACGGCCATGATTAACATTAACCTGTTGCAAATATATGGAGGGAGTCTGTTTTTGACTCCAGTGGTCTTCTGCCGAAGCTCAGACTCTGGTATAGGATGGGGAACGTTGGAACAAAAAGTTGAACTGCTGCTATTATTGGTTCACTAACAATTGCTCGTTTTCGATGCCGCCGGCAAGAATAACAATCTCCTGTCTCTTCACGGATTCACGCGACAGTCGCTGCTTTCATTTGCTTCTAATAACCAAGGGGTATTGTTTAAGTAAGCCACAGCCTCATAGTATTTTAGTCCCTGTGGCGCATAATTTTAAAACCGCTCCACTTTGTTGGGTCGAACAACGGCCTGTTCGAACTCCAGCGGATATACCTCGATACATAGGCATACGTAATAAATAATTACCGTGTTGCTATAATACTATGAAGCCGTGTTATGCGTAAGAGGACCCCTTGCTAGTCAAAGCAAGGATATGGTAGATGAATTAAGAGGTGAGAGTTTGTTTGCTTCGAGTATGATATTTGTTTTAGTTTCCGGTATAATGACAGGAACGGCTTTTTTGTGCGGTCTTAAGTAGGAACTAGTAAACATATGAATGTTTTAAAAGTTCTGACGTAAAATTCATTATTCAAATAACATAAACTATTCAAAAGCTAAACCACTTTTCGAGTTTGCTTCTGGTTAATAATCCAACTTCATGATCCATGGGATCGTCACTGAAGCTGAAGTCTTTATCGTACTAGTTTTACTGTAGTATTTTAATCTGCTATCTACCTGGCCGCATTAATAATAGCACAGTATCGAAATGATTTGTATTAAACAAAAATTTTGTTTTTTTTTTCACATGAAAGGATGGGGGGGGGGTGAAAAGTGATTTATTGCTTAATTAAGCCCCCCCAGTATGGCACTTTACAGTTTAAGGAAAGAACCCATTCTCTTGCCGTATTATTAATTATTCTCTTGCCTTATTATTGATTATTTTCTTGTATTTATAATTGAAGCGTCAGATTACTTTGTCACTCGTTCTGGCAGAAGGCGAAAAGTGGAGAATGATGGAGAAGCATTGAATTGCGTTCTTGACGCAGCCTTAAGGAGGACAAGTCTGACATCGGACAGCTGAACTATTGAGAAGATTACATATCAGCACGGGAGGTTTCGAAGTTGTTCTTGTAAAAGGCCGAGCAATATGGAACTCCTTACAAAAACCCGGACATTGTCACTTGATTTAAGCAGCATTATGGTTTATTAGATATCTTGCAAAGTCTGTCTTAGTTTCTCTGCTGGGATGACTAAAGTTGGGCATAAAATAATATTTAGAAACCTCATCTACAAGATTAGAAGACCTATTAGGCTGTGTTTGAATGTTCCGTTACGAAACTACGCAGTAGAATGATTACTAAACTTTTGGCACAGGAAACTTCTAATGATGCATTAAACCTTTATGTCAAAGAAATAATGTAAAGCCATTTATCCATTTATGTTCCAGTATTAAAGTCAGCCATGATAACCGTTCTGACGTATCCGTGTCGTATCATCCTCAGATGTCTACGATACTAATAGTGTGTAACCTGCTTTACACTACTGTTTGTAAAATGCTACGGTGATTGTGTTTTTATCTGAAGAGCGCTAGTTTTCGTCAAGTGGAGGTATCGTACGTTTGTAAAATTTGCAAAGCAAACATAGTCGTTTAAAGCTACCGTTTATTTAAGGAACGACGGAAAAGATTTCCAAACAATTTTAAGTTTATAGATTTTACGTTATTCTACGAGCTTATTTGTTATAAAGATAAATGCTGTAGTCTGATCATAACGTTGGCCAGTTTGTCGCTTTCTTAAGGATGTATCATTCAAAAGAAGCGGATTATGATTATTTCTGGATGTCGGCCAGCTACTATTCCACCTGCTCTACTGTCAAAAATCGTTTAGCCATTCAAAGAACCAAGAACGACACGATGAAGGCACAGTTTTACGTTTTAAAGATGTTGCTTAGTTCAGATTAATAATAACGTCTCATCCGAATCCTTCCATCCCAGTCTGCGTTCAGGCTTTTATATTCTTACGGTTGTGCTCTCTCTGATATGTTCTGAAGATCAGCAACGGAAAACAACAATTTTATTTGATAATTTGGTGTATGTATTAAAATACATATTATTTAATGAGATGGTCATGTTGGCTTATGCATAATGTGTGGTTAAGACTGCAAATAAAAGCGTGGTTTCCACTGCTGCTGATAAGAATAACCGATGGTTCACGTTTCTTCTTGGGTTTACATATCAGAACCGACGGGCTTCTTGCTTGTGGTGGTATAATACTTATACTCTTTCATAAGTGTAGATTTTGGTTTACATGCCTCAGATT